CTGTTGTCTACCGTTGCAATCAATTCAGGTCTCCCGCGTAAATGAACTGGTTGCTCTGGACATCCTTGGTCCATATCCCACTACTCGTCATGGGAATAAGTATTTGCTAGTGGGAGTCATGATGGCCGGGGGCCTGGCCACTCCCCAACCAGTCAACGGTGACGATCATTGAGGTATTCCTCAATTGCTGCGTAATGGACAAGGGTGCTCCCGAACGTCTTTTGACCGATCAGGGCAACATTTTTTTCCGAAATTGCTGTGCGAGGTGTGCGATTTGTTAGGTATGCACATGACCATACCACCCACAGACGGATGGCATGGTTGAGCGGCTGCACAGGACTCTGACCTCCACGTTGAGCCATCAGGTCAGCGAGTCCCAACTAGATTGGGATTTGCATATTCCTGGAGTCCTGGATGCATATAGGATGGCTCCTCACGCATTCACTGGCTACTCACCGTTTTTTTATGTACAGGAGAGAACACTACCCCCCGATTGATGTCAAATTACAAGCCGCTCCAAACAAGGCTAAATAAAAACATTCTGACTCCGTGCGCTTTACCCGTCAGAAGCTTTCCGAAGCACGGGAGGCTTCCAGAGTAAATTCCAATTCACACCAATTGGCAATTGAGCGGCTGAAGGGTTCCCGTACTTCCGCACATGAGTGGGTGCCATGAGACAGAGCCTGGTTGCACTGTCCACAGGTACCGGTGAGTACGTCGCCCAAATTGTTTAAACCCTGGAAGGGGCTGGTTGATGTGATTCGAGTTGGTTTCTACATCCCTCACGCCTCAAGCCTTTCATCACTCCGCGTGAGTTTGTTCCATCTCCACACCACAGGGGCCGTGTGTCAGATGCGTCCGGCGAGCTGACGTGTGTACCCGCCGAGGTTGGTCCTCTGTGAAGTCGTGTGATCCCGTCCTCAGGTGCCGCGGGTTTAATGTCCCCCGAGCCGTCTGCACTGTCTCAACTGGATTCGGGAGAAGACAGCCCGTCTGCCCGGCCGACTGCTCTTCGTGAGGAGCCGGGTTCTACGGGACATTTCCATGTTTCCCCCGGGACCTCCAGGGAGATTGAGTCCTGGGGATCCGGCCACGCACACTCCCACATCGTCGGTTGGTTGTCGCACTCGGCAGGCCGTATCAGTTATTGGCTGAACCTGGCCTTTGTTGTGCTTGTGGGTGTTGTTACACGGTGAGTATGGGAGATAATGCTCACTTGAAAATTAACGAGCTCTATCTACCAATGGCTCCCGCCACCTTCGAGGTCCAGTCCGTATCCCTTACTACTAACGAGTGCTTTTCCATCATTTACATCTATCACCCTCCAGATGGCAGCATCAACACCTTCTTAAATGAGCTTTCAGAATTCCTTTATCTGATTCCTAACCTATCTCACAGGTTCGTGCTTACAGGTGACATTAATTGCCCCGGCAATACCCCAGCCTCCATCGATAGTCACCTTGAGTCAACTTTGGCCTGCCATAACCTGGTCATCACAAACTCAGGCCCCACCAGAGCTTCGTCAACAAACGTTGAGAGCATGCTCGACCTGGTTCTGGAACATGACCAGCACCGACGCATCACTGCACTGGGAGTTTTCCAAATTGGTTACTCCGACCACCGCCTCGTACTTTTTTCCCTCCAATTTCCCAAGCCAATAACCTTCAAATTCACCCGCAACTTGCGTAATTTTAAGGGTATCGAATTTTCTGCTTTGCGTCACCTCCTTGCAAATTCGCTTTCAATGTTATCCCCATCATCGGATCCAACTGTCTGCGCTCTCCAACTAGAAGCTGACATGAGGGCGGCGCTGGACAAACTAGCTCCATTAAAATCACGAACCGCTAGGCAGTCTTCTCACGACACTCACTGGCTCTCAAGAGATGCCATCATTGCTAAGCGAACCAGGAAGCGCCTTGAAAGTATCGCATCCCGCAGTGGTCTACCTGCTGATCGACTTGCTTACAGAGTCGCCTGCAGGAAAACTAACAAACTGATCCTAGTCTCACGTTCCTCCTACATTGAGGAACGCATCAAAAAAGCAACTGGAAAACCGCGCATTCTATGGAAAACCCTCAAAGATCTTCTACATCCTGGTAGCACCATGGTCCCTCACCTTAGCGATCCCCTTGCCTCACTGAAACTTGCCATCTCTTTTAATACTTACTTCACCAACAAGCTAATCACCGTCGCAAACTCGTGCACGTCTACCGACACATCACACCATTGTACCCTGCTCATGGTACCTAAAATTGTAAGCACTAACCCAGACACTCTTCTAATTACGCTAAAGCCGGTGTCTGCAAAAAGACGTTTTCTCTTTAATTGAATCACTTCATTTGAAGTCATCTCCACTCGACGTGCTCCCAGGTTCCTTGTTCAAGCAATGTGCTCCAGAACTCGCCATCATGATCAGGAACATCGCAAATGCCTCCTTCTCTTCGGGGTGTTTTCCGTCCAACCTCAAACCTGGCCTGGTTTCTCCCTTGTTAAAGAAACCAAGTCTAGATCCGGATGACCCATCTAGTTATCGTCCCATCACTAACCTCTCGAACCTCTAAACTCCTTGAACGACTAGCCCTCGCCCAGCTAAAACCACACATCACCGCCTCCGCAAACTACTGCTGCTTCCAATCAGCTTACCGTCAAAACTATTCCACAGAAACAGCACTCACTAGAGTGCTCGATGACATTTTAACGATCATTGATTCCAGCTCAACTGTTGCACTTGTAAGTCTGGACATTTCGTCAGCCTTCAACACCATCAACCATTCGCTCCTTACTTCCCTCCTGAAATCCGACTTCGGTATATGCGGCTCAGCACTCAAGTGGATAGTTTCGTACCTTTCTGACCGGCAATCTTCAGTCAGGGTGGGCATGTCCACATCGCCTAAAACAACAGCATTATGCGGGGTTCCCCAGGGCTCTGTTCTAGGTCCCCTGCTCTTCACAGCCTACACTTCCCCGATCGGCCGGCTCATTGCAAGCTTCGGTGTTAAGCATCACTCATATGCGGATGACACGATTCTATTCACCGCCATCGATTCTAGCAATGCATCTGGATTCGAGAGGCTCTCGGAATGTACCACCGCCGTGCAACAATGGTTCACTGCACACAACCTAGCCCTTAATCCGAAAAAGTCAGTGGCCATCATGTTAGGTACCAAGCAACGTCTCAATTCAGCAGCACTCCCCACACACATACACATCTTCGGTCACAGCATCAAGTTCACCGACCACTTCAGCTACCTCGGTGTCATCCTAGATTCAACTTTATCCTTCGACCGTCAAACCAACCATATCATCAGCTCATGTAACTTTCACCTGAAGGCTCTTAAGACACATACGTCCTCTCATCTCTACTGAAATTGCCAACACATTGGCATGTTGCATAGTTGGGTCTCGCCTTGACTATTGTAACTCCGTCCTAGTTCGGACCTCTGCTGGCAACCTAAAGATACTTCAAAGACTACAAAATAACCTAGCACGCGTCGTCATTGCCCACAATCATCCCCGTCTCGACTCACTAGCTTGTCTCCATGCTCTCAACTGGCTACCCATCGCCAGTAGGGTCACATACAAGACCGCCTGCCTCTGCCACAATGCCTTCATATCCGCCTTCCCGCCGTACCTTTCTTCATTATTGACAACTTGCAGCTCAGCACACAGCAGATGCCTGCGTAGCGCGACTCACGACCTCCTCTTGATACCAAGATCCAGGATGGTCATGTCTATGCGCCGCTTCTCGGTGGCAGCCCCAACAGTCTGGAACGATATCCCTCTGCACATTCGCAGCATCACCTCAATCGCCTCCTTCAAGAGACACTTAAAAACTCACCTCTACAATCATGCTTTTGAGCAACTCTGAGCTTGGCTCCGTGCCTCTGAGTTGCGGCCACTACGTCTGCAAATTTGCGCACGTTACAAATTGAACTATTATTATTACTATGGAGGGGGTTCCGAGCGTTTGCGTGTTACTGCGTTTTGTTTGATTTCTCTCTATTACCCTGTTGCATATTCTGTACTTTCGTCCCCTTTCCCCGTTAGTTACTATATAATTGTATATAGAGCACATATTGTATAGATTGGCTTGGATATTTATTTGTTGAGGCAGGCTAAGGGTTTGTTCAATTGTTCATTGTTTAAGGGGGAGTTGACAGCCAGGACGGCCGAGTGCTACGAAGGGGGGGGGGGTGATGTAGTGACATCACAGATGTCACTGTGTAGTACCGGCCCTAGAGGGGCTCTGTGAACGCTGGATGGCACCACGTGTGGTGTGCAGCGCCGAACCCTATAGGATGGGGGTGTGAGAGTGCCGGCCACGAGAATGGGGTTACTTTGGGCCGTGGCACTGTGGTTGACCCCAGAAGACACGTGACTGGTTAAGTTTACACAGGGGCCCCAAGTGGGGGCTAGGGGTGGTCGAGATCTTGCTCGAAGACTCTGCAGGGTAGGCGTGGCCAAGGGTGCAGCTGGCCATGCCGCAGAGCATATAAGCTGGGTCCCCCAGAGGGACCGGCGCTATTGTCATCCTGAAATCGACGTTCTATGTCCAACGTCCTAGAAAGTCTCCAACACGTGGTCCGGGACCCAAGCTGGGGTCCGGTCTAGTGTAGCCAGTTACCGTGTAATGAGTGCAGTTCGCCTGGTGGTCCAACACCATAGGTTGTTATCCTGTTAAGGGGCAGTTACCACGTGTTGGTATTATGCAAATTTATGGAATTATGTACATGTATGCACTTATGCAAATTAGGTTCAGCTTCCTTGTCTAGGGTGCATTACCAATCGTAATAATACAATGATTCTCACTTTAACTTTTACTGATTATGTTTTAGTGTAATTCTATCAGGTCTCAGAATTTAGATCTCACCGCAGGATACAGTTCTTATGATTAAGATTATTATGCATGAACTTAGGAAGGAACCACTCAGACTTTTCTATGTTAAAAACACTTTAATATTTAAAAGCACTCTAATATGCTAACATACTTATGATCGGAATTGTCAACACCGTACTTCTGAAGATGTCCTAATTGATACGTACAATTAACCCTCAATGGTTACGTTTGTTAAAACTGAGTAAGAGAAAAATCGGCTAACTCCTCCGAGTAGAACGACCATACACGGCGATAGGAAAAGTTCTTTAAAAAATGACAATATTCACATGAAACGTGCTAAAGAAACATGTGCCCAATGGCAAAAGTAGACATCAATGATTTCATTGAGAAGATTATGCAATTAACGAAATGTCCTGAAACAATAGTGTGAGTACTAGTGTGCCTTTTTGGCAAACAGATGCTTATCAATTGGATAATGGGACATCAATGAATTCACAGGCAAGATTCTGTAATCAAAAGAAAAAATCTCAACACACTAATATTCCTGTGAGTGTAGATTGATAACAAACGCTTATCAATGTTTAGTGTGTAAATGAATTCATTGGTAAGGTTATGCAATAAACAAAAACAATTGACTAAAATGCTTTGAAACGACCGTATTCATGTAACTCAAGGGAGAGAACAACGCTTTTCACGATCAACTAATAGTTAACGCACCACCTTGGGATGGCAACCCTTTTCGAAAAACACGAAGATAACTTTTTGGAACAATCTTATTCGTTCTGTGCGTTGTGTGTGGGTGTGTCGTCTTCTTGCTAACTGTTGAGTTAGCAGCTTCCGAAGTGCAGCGTTCCTTGTACCGAAAACACCTCAGGTCCCCAGGAAGGGCACTGGATCTGCGTGTGTCGAACACACGGTACCCTCGGCTGCTTCCTCAGTCTCTCTCCATCGCTGGGGTGGTTGCCGAGTCAGCACGCTGGTCACGCTGTGGGCGGTACCCGTGCTGCCAAGGATGATGGGTCCGGCTCCGTCTGCGTCGATGTGCGCGATCATCCCGTCGGCAGACAGCGCTCGCAGCTCGTCCGCTGTTTGCCACGCGTCACCTCCCTTGGCACCAGACACTGTTGATCCTTGTAGACTGTGGAGCGACTTGGAGAGACAGCACCTGTCGTCTTCTCCCCCCCCGCCCTCTTCAAGAGAGTCCTCTTCCAGTTGTCTCTACGACTCATGTTGCACAGAGGACACGCTACAGATCAAGTTATATCGTTCCGTGTCAGTCTCTGATCCGACCCTCAACTAAACTTCGCCTGTGGGTTGCGATTTAAAGGGGCACTCTCACGAATAGTGGTTGCACCAGCTTTCCCTCGAAGGGTTGACTTTGATCGGAGCACAATAGGAACGATTGTCACTCTATTATCGTGTTGGCTGTACACAGCGAACTCGTATCCGGGAATAGTAATGTTACGGCACTCTTTCCCACGTTTGTATTGTACTACTGCAAGTACCAGCCTTGGCTGGCAGCCTTGGCTGGCAGCCTCTCAATGACGCAAACATTTTTAAACCTCTACGTGATGTGTGGCTTCTGCCGATGCAGAGCTCCCTATTAATTTGCCAGGCACAAGGGCATTCCCCGGAGCCTACCACTCGCAGTACTTCTTCTTTCGTATGGCATTGTGAAAAGCAACAGTTTTTATTTTTAATGATCACCGTAAATGAATGCAAAGGTTCCTCATCCAGTTCAATGATGTGGTTGACGCAGTGTGGATTTCAGCGATACCGCCAGGATATGCATGGATGGAGCATTCATCGGTGATGTGCTTGATGGTTTGGATTTGTCAGTTGGGCGATTCTTTGAGCAGTACTGATTTCTGTTCTTGCATTCTTGCTTATATCTGAATTTTTCCACCTCAGGCTCTTTCTTCTCATAAAGGGGCAGCTGTTTTCCTTTTCAAGTCGCTTGGGCTGTTTGTTGTCCAGATGTTTTTATTACCGCCATGTTTCTGTTCACATTTTGGGCAGTGTTCCCCACACTCCCATCACGGGTTGGAATTGTTACATTTTTTTCGCATCAGACTTGCAGTCGCTCTCAAAAAGGGGCGCTGTGGCCTTTGCAGTCGTGACCTATTGTGCACGGGTGTGCTTGCTGTCGCCATGTTTTCCGTCCTCTCATCACGGGTTGGGAATTTTTTTTTACAACTCTTATTGCTTGGTACCATACCACTTTCGGCAGTTTTGACTCCAATCGACTCAAAAGTATATATTTTTGCAGCGTTCACAGCACTCACGTCGCAGTTTGGAATTATTGCGTGGTATTTGATATATTAGGGGGAGACGCCCCCCTGCATACATCATTTACTGCTACCATGTGCTGTTAGCTACTGGAAGACGAAGGTTGTTGGCGAGGCTCTGATCCCGTGGAATACATATTATCTTGGTCGCGTGTGATTGACATATTTCGCATTGTATCTCTTCTGAATGACCCTTGATCTAATACTTTCATAATTATTATTTGGTTCATATTTAACCAAGATATGCTACACCGTAGTTGTTTCTGAGGATATTCCGAGGGTTTTATTCATCTTTGTTCCCCGTCTGTATCGCCAGGGATATGTGCTTATTATCAAGTTATATTTTGATATCCTGAGGTTGAAGATGTAGCTAAGCTTCGAACTTTACTCTTGTATTATAAAAACTCCAGTCAGCTCATTAACTGCCCTTGGGTGGATTTCAAAGTCCAAGGAAGGTTCGTGACCCCTGCTGTTTATGTCTGCTTTATTATGGGTTGTTTCCTTTATTGCAGCCTTGTCTTGAAGTCAACTGGGGATTACCCGCAGAATCTCGTTAGCCGCCCTCCCTTGGGTTTGCCATTTTTAAAATTACATTTTATGACTTCCCAAGCAGGCTTGTAAGTAATTATCCTCCAGCTGTCTGCGTGGCAAAGTAGGAGGCAGGGGGGGGGACTCACAATTTCCGTGCCCCAGCACTAAATCCCGATCAAATTTATTAACAAAAAAGGCAGAATCACCTAATACATTTTTTTGGAAAAGGCATATGCACAACATGCTCTGAGTGTTTGTGATGAGATATGATACGAAACTCCGAGCTGCTGAGGCGATGAAGCAAGCATCATTATAATGCTAATATTAGATTTCAAGTTTTCGTGACTGCAGGGATCCATACTCTTTGGTTCTTTCGGTAAAGTCACGTAGGTATAAAATAAAACAAGTTAAATTAAATCACGACGTTTTGGGCGCAACACAAGTGCCCGTCATCAGGTGGAACCACAACAATAAACAATTGCTGAAGTGGGCAAGAGGAGGCTGCTTGTAACAAGAGGCTATATATAAGTAAGAGAGGGGGGAGGAGCCAGGGAGGAGAGATAGAGAGGGTGGGGGTGTGGGGTAGGGGGAGTGCAAGCTCCGACACGAGTGCGACAAAATGCAGGGGCTGGGGGGTAGGAGGCTGAATAAACTGGAGATGCGGATATGAAGGCAAACTATAAAGCAGTTAAGGTTTTACCTGGTTAATAACATCCTTCCAATGATTGCTCAATTTGTATCCATCTTCTCGGTTTAAGTTATGTCTATGTTTATATATCTGGATGGCTTCATGAATAAACCTTTGATAGTAGCCCGAAGGTTTGCAGAGCCCCTTGGTCTCAAAAAAACAATATCATGAGAGCCCACAGCGTTATAGCAATGGTCAGCCACGGCGGAGGTATTAGTCTTGCCGTGTTTCAGATCTGCCTTGTGCTCGCGAACACGGTCCAACACATGCCGTTTTCGATTTAAAGCTTTCGTGACTGCAGGGATTCATCTTCTTGGTTCTTTCGGTAAAGTCACGTAGTAGGGAAGTAATAAAATAATAAAAATAAAACATAATAAAATAATTCTCACGACGTTTCGGCCACAACGCAAGCAGCCGTCCTCAGGTGAAGAACATGTCTGTCGATAAGACAGAGTCTAAATGACAGGTCTTAGGCTTGGAGTGTCTATTTAAGCTGTGAGGGAGGAGGAAGAGAGCCTTGACAAAAGAATTTGCATTTGAAGAGGAATTTAGCATATTTATGGGAAATGCAGGAATGCGAATAGAGCTAATTGTGAAATGCGTGGGAGGTGGGCGGGGGGTTTTCAAAGTCATATTATGCCCATGCATTATGCAGGAGTAGCAGCATCAAAGGGAGGGGGCAGGGGCAGCACCAACAAAGGGAAGGAATGTGAATAGTATGCAGCTGCAGCAACCAAACAACCACGTAAAAAACTAAAGTATAAACTTCATAGTATCATCAGTATAATAAATATACTCTCCAATAAGCTGAGCTACTAACAGTAAGTAATACATTACAATTCTATGTCGCAAAAAATATAATATGCTTCCAGCTAAACTTGTTTCCCTTACATCAAACAGGTCTGCCCCGTACTATATGCTGCCATAGACAAACCCAACATTAAATTACATACTGTATTACTATACACCACCCTATACCTTATACATTGTTATATTACACTATGTATTATTCTACCCACCCTAATGTATTTCACACTGCTATATATTCACTATATAATTACGATACTATATATTACTTTGTACATTGTTTTAAGCATATAAATGTTATACTATTTGTTATTATACACTGTACCATTGACCGTCGTGTGAAAGATACTAAGAGGCAGCAACGAAATATGAGAATGGGAGAGTAGCAGAGCAAAGAATCCATTCCCTGCCGTTTTGTTTCATCAATGTAACAATCACCATAGGAGCAACTTAGTTTGTAGACTCCCGGATATTGCATGTCATGATCTGCAAACCTTGCCCACTTCAGCAAGTTTTTTGTTTGTGGTTGTTTCACCTGATGATGGGCACTTGTGTTGCGCCCCGAAACGTCATGATTTCATTTATTTTATACTTACGTGACTTTACCGAAAGAACCAAAGCGTATGAATGCTAATATTATTGTAACATTATGAATGCTTGGGAGCGTATTGGCTCTAGCTCCTGGTTATAGATCTACCCAACCCACAGGTCCGCAAATACTGACCTCTCTACTCTGCAGGTTGAACCAAAGAATTGATTGTTCAACTTCACATTCTTTCATTAAAGGCCTGTGACAAAGGTGAATCTACTGGGGCTTCATTGTCTAAAGCTTACACATCTACCGGGTCTCCATTTGACTTTGTTTTGTCTAAGAAGTCCACCCATACCTCCACTTCCACAAACTGCTGGGAGTTGCCTCGCTCTGCCTCACAGTCAGAATTCTCCTCCTGCTTCACGTTGCCTCCATCGAAGTGAAGGTCCGATTTTGGAGTTGAATCTTCATCTTCACATTTCACCTTCACTTCTTCACGCTTCATTGTCACCTCTTCAAATTTCACCTTGATACATTTCATAGTGTCCAAGCTGGAATGTACTTCTGGTTCTTTTTTCAGGAGGGATGGGCTCATTGCAGCACTTTGACTTTCACAAGTCGATTTCAGACTACACTCCTTGAGGATCTTCTGATGCATGTGTGTCCTCTGGTGTCTATGAAGATCTGATAACTGTGCAAATGCCTTCCCGCACAGAGTGCACTTGAAGGGTTTCTCTCCTGTGTGTGTTCTCTGGTGTCTATGAAGATCTGATGACTGTGCAAATGCCTTCCCGCACATAGTGCACTTGAAGGGTTTCACTCCTGTGTGTGTTCTCTGGTGTTTTTTAAGATACGATGACTGTGAAAATTCCTTCTCACACACACTGCACTTGAAGGTGTTATTTCCTGTGTGTATTCTCTGGTGTCTTTTAAAAGAAAATGAACTTGAAAATGCCTTCCCACACACACTGCACTTGTTTGGTTTCTCTCCTGTGTGTGTTCTCTGGTGGATCTGAAGACCTGATGCCCATGCAAATGCCTTCTCACAGACAGTGCATTTGAAAGGGTTATCTCCTGTGTGTATTCTCTGGTGTCTTTTAAACGAAAATGAACTTGAAAATGCCTTCCCACACACATTGCACTTGTTTGGTTTCTCTCCTGTGTGTGTTCTCTGGTGTAGCTGAAGAACCGATGCCCATGCAAATGCCTTCTCACAGACAGTGCATTTGAAAGGGTTATCTCCTGTGTGTATTCTCTGGTGTATTTTAAAATAGAATGAACTTGAAAATGCCTTCCCACACACACTGCACTTGTTTGGTTTCTCTCCTTTGTGCATTCTTTGGTGTATTTTAAGAGTTGATGATTGTGAAAATGCCTTCTCACACACACTGCACTTGAAGGGTTTTTCTCCTGTGTGTGTTCTCTGGTGGATCTGAAGACCTGCTGCCCATGCAAATGCCTTCTCACAGACAGTGCATTTGAAAGGTTTCTCTCCTGTGTGTGTTCTCTGGTGTTTTTTAAGAGTCGGTGAATTTGAAAATTCCTTCCCACACACACCACACCTGAAGGGTATCTCTCCTGTGTGTGTTCTCTGGTGGATCTGAAGACCTGCTGCCCATGCAAATGCCTTCTCACAGACAGTGCATTTGAAAGGTTTCCCTCTTGTGTGTATTCTCTGGTGTTTTTTAAGAGTCGATGAATCTGAAAATTCCTTCCCACACACACTACACCTGAAGGGGTTCTCTCCTGTGTGAGTTCTCTGGTGCTGTGTCAAATTTCCAGTACGATCCGTGCTGTATGTACACTGGTCGCAATGTTTGATTTTTGTTCCGAGCTGCGCTGAGTGCCTTTGCTCCATCAGACCAATTCTGCAGAGGAAGCATCAGAGGAAGCGTCAGCTGCAGACAGAAAAACATATTCGATACCATCTACGTCAGTATCAAGACAGAGAAATGAATACAATCTTTGATTTCAAGATTTTGTGACTGCAGGAATTACTCTTTGGTTATTTCGGTAAAAGTCACGTAGATATCAAATAAAAAATAAAATAAATAATGGGACACAACGTTTCGATTGCAACACAAGCAACCATCATCCGGTAAGAACTGTATGTAAATGCAAGCTCGGAGAGACACATAAATAAACTCTTACACGCACATATGTAGAGGTGTATTTGTGCATGGGCACGGATGGCTAACAAACACAAGGGGCGTGGTTAGAGCCGTACACAGAGGAGGTGCTCACACCGACGTCCGCACCTGCATCCCCCACGGGCCCCTCCCGGGGGGCCGAGTACTATAAAAGGTGGTGAGCCAGAGGACTCGAGGTCGAGTATTAGCTTAAACCAGCGAAGAGTGAAGACCAGCTAGAATAAGCCCCGGAACTCCCCTGGCTCGCTGTCCTTGTCAGGGCCGACCAGGGCAAGCCGGTGGTGTGGCCCCGAGAGCCCAGACTGACGTTCTTGTAAGAGCCGGTCTGGAGACTCAGGGTGCCGGGATCCCAGCTAGACCAGGGCTGGGATAGGTAGCCTCCCCTAGCTCCGTAGTGGAGGACTTGGGCGTAGGTTAGCGGGGTTAGATGTTGTGTCTCCCTGTAGCCGAGTGAAGGGGACGATAACCTCTTAAGTACTGTGTGTACCCGTTACTGTGCACAAGTTGGTGTTAATAAATAAGTGTGCCTCCGACCCCGTCGTCAAAGCCTCCTGAATACTTACTACACATACATTTCACATGGATCATTAACATCTAACCTATAAAAGTCATTTTTGTCTGTCCATCTGTCTGCGTATGCGCACTTGCGAGGGATTTGGCTCTTGAACCGTGAGGTTAACGTCGAACAAAATTATTGACAGGCAGCACACCCTAAGCGTCGCAGTGGGAATAGGCTATTCCATTTTTCAATCCGTCAACTTTAAAGTAGTTTAATAAACGATTTAGTGCGATTTATATCTATTTCATTATTTCCCAGCCCCGCGAGCGACACAGCACGCATTTGCGCATGCGCGAAACTGACAGGAGTTGCCCCTGGCAACACACACACGACATCCTGGAGAGTGGGGGGGATTTTTCATTCGCGTTCAAAAGGCAAAACAATGTACACGCAACGCTGAGGTAAATTCATCAAAGTGTCAAGTCCTCTTCTCTCCCCCCCCCCTCCACCCTGTGTGCACTTACTATTATAGGGACAGTAGATACTAAAATAACAACGCTTAGACAGTGTTATTGTAGAGGGGGGGCGGAGTAGCGGCCCAGCCCCCAGCCTCACCCGGCTGGGCAATCTAGGCGAGGCCCGGGGCTCTGCACAGGACTAGGCCTCACCACGGCACTCTGTCAGGTGAGTATTTTGTGATATAGAGTCGAAATATACTGCTACTAGCGGGAAGTACCCGGCGTTGCCCAGGGGAAAAATATATTTTAAAACTTCTCAACTTAAAAACATAACTTATACAAATGAAAAGAAAAACTTTGATCATTACCTCACCGATTAAAAATAAAATAAAATCCAACGCGCGGTGAAAAAGAACGCTCGCGTGCCATGATTCAATTCTTTAAATCGCACAAAGGAATTGAAGGTTGTAGATTTCTTTAGAAACGGCCTATTCCCGTTTAATCAATACCACAAACGCTCACCAGATATTGATTCTCGCTAGTTCTGTATGCGGGTTGACGATACACATTTCATGGTCATCCCCCCCCCCCCCCCCCCCAAAATACAAAAGTCTATTTTTATACGTTTTGCATTGTGTACAGTCTGGAAGCTACCCAAATGCCAAATTTCAAGTTTTTTGGATGTTGGGAAGTATGCTAAATATTTCGAACAGACACACATTCACAAATGTCCCTTTATATATATACAATGAGGGAAAAAAGTATTTGATCCCCTGCTGATTTTGTACGTTTGCCCACTGACAAAGAAATGATCAGTCTATAATTTTAATGGTAGGTTTATTTGAACAGTGAGAGACAGAATAACAATAACAAAATCCAGAAAAACGCATTTCAAAAATATAAATTGATTTGCATTTTAATGAGGGAAATAAGTATTTGACCCCTCTGCAAAACATGACTTAGTACTTGGTGGCAAAACACTTGTTGGCAATCACAGAGGTCAGACGTTTCTTGTAGTTGGCCACCAGGTTTGCACACATCTCAGGAGGGATTTTGTCCCACTCCTCTTTGCAGATCTTCTTCAAGTCATTAAGGTTTCGAGGCTGACGTTTGGCAACTCGAACCTTCAGCTCCCTACACAGATTTTCTATGGGATTAAGGTCTGGAGACTGGCTAGGCCACTCCAGGACCTTAATGTGCTTCTTCTTGAGCCACTCCTTTGTTGCCTTGGCCGTGGGTTTTGGGTCAATGTCATGCTGGAATACCTATCCACGACCCATTTTGAATGCCCTGACTGAAGGTAGGAGTTTCTCACCCAAGATTTGACGGTACATGGCCCCGTCCATCGTCCCTTTGATGCGGTGAAGTTGTACTGTCCCCTTAGCAAAAATACACCCCCAAAGCATGTTTGCATCTCCATGTTTGACGGTGGGGATGGTGTTCTTGGGGTCATAGGCAGCATCCCTCCTCCTCCAAACACGGCGAGTTGAGTTTATGCCAAAAAGCTCCATTTTGGTCTCATTTGACCACAACACTTTCACCCAGTTGTCCTCTGAATCATTCAGATGTTCATTGGTAAACTTCAGCCGGGCATGTATATGTGCTTTCTTGAGCAGGGGGACCTTGCGGGCACTGCAGGATTTCAGTCCTTCACGGCGTAGTGTGTTACCAACGGTTTTCTTGGTGACTATGGTCCCAGCTGCCTTGAGATCATTGACAAGATCATCCCGTGTAGTTCTGGGCTGATTCCTCACCGTTCTCATGATCATTGCAACTCCACGAAGTGGGATCTTGCATGGAGCCCCAGGCCGAGGGAGATTAACAGTTCTTGTGTTTCTTCCGAATAATTGCACCAACTGTTGTCACCTTCTCACCAAGCTGCTTGGCGATGGTCTTGTAGCCCATTCCACCCTTGTGTAGGTCTACAATATTGTCCCTGACATCCTTGGAGAGCTCTTTGGTCTTGGCCATAGGTGGAGAGTTTGTAATCTGATTGATTGCTTCTGTGAACAAGTGTCTTTTATACAGGTAACAAGCTGAGATTAGGAGCACTCCCTTTAAGAGTGTGCTCCTAATCTTAGCTCGTTACCTGTATAAAATACACCTGGGAGCCAGAAATCTTTCTGATTGAGAGGGAGTCAAATACGTATTTCCCTCATTAAAATGCAAATCAATATATACAAATTTTGACATGCGTTTTTTAGGATTTTGTTGTTGTTATTCTGTCTCTCACTGTTCAAATAAACCTACCATTAAAATTATAGACTGATCATTTCTTTGTCAGTGGGCAAACGTACAAAATCAGCAGGGGATCAAATACTTTTTTCCCTCACTGTTTGTAGATATCCATTATTGCGCCCCCCCTCCAAAAATATATAGAAAAGTATGTTTTTATACTTTTTGCATTGTGTACAGTCTGGAAGCACCCCACATGCCAAATTTCAAGTTTGTTGCATGTCAGGAAGTATGTAAAACAATTCAAACACACATATTCACAAATTTCCCTTTTATATATAACACTAGCGGTAAGTACCCGGCGTTGCTCGGGCAAAAAAGGAAGATACACACATGGACTTACACACAGACATTGACCCACACACATAGAAACACATCAACGTAGACGCACATACACACATATATGGTTAAATCCAGGAAAGGATCGTTAGCAGGCCAACCTAAATTTTTCTAACCGGTGAAGATGTTCCATTAGGGGGGTGCACGTTTCGCAAGCGTAGAGAAGGGAGGGAATTACCGTGCCCGAGAAGACCTAGAGCTTCATGGAGCGAAATACCAGGTAGCTTCCACACAGCGAAACACAGCCGATGAAAAGATAATGGCGCTCGACTGATTTGGAGTGAGACCTCTGCTGTTAAACCGGAGCCGGTCATGAGCACACTGGCCAGGTATGGGAATCTCGGCATTCTCTCCACAACTACCGCATTACCAATTGTGAGTTGTGGGGGTGGATTGTTCGATGGTACAAAATACCCAGGCAGGTGCTTAGTTTTGGTGGGGCTGATAGTAAGGCTCCACCTCTTAGTGGCAAGCTCCAGGTTCAGCCGCAGTGAGCAGCAATCACCAGAGCATCGGCATACATAACATGGTTGAGCAATAGGGAGGCATCCCTTGACCGCACCCGGGAATCGATCAGCCTCCCATTGTATCTGTACCATATGGTAATTCCTCGGGAACAGCCATTGAAGGCTTCACGAACTACGTGGTCAAAATGTGTTAAATAATGTGGAGCCAGAGGACATCCCTGTTACACCCTAAGGCAGGGGTCCTCAAACTTTTTAAACAGGGGGCCAGTTCACTGTCCCTCAGACCGTTGGAGGGCCGGACTATAGTAAAAAAAAAACTATGAACAAATTCCTATGCACACTGCATATATCTTATTTTGAAGTGAAGAAACAAAACGGGAACAAATACAATATTTAAAATGAAGAACAAGTAAAGTTAAATCAACAAACTTGCCAGTATTTCAATGGGAACTATGGGCCTGCTTTTGGCTAATGAGATGGTCAATGTCCGGTTCCATATTTGTCACTGCTAGTCGTAACAAGTGATGCAAGTGTGCATCCGTTAGTCTAGATCTGGTTGGAGATTTCAAATGTTTCATTCTGGAAAAAGTCTGTTCACAGACATAAGTGCTGCCAAAGATGGTTGCCATTTTGAGTGCATGGTTCCTGAGATGAGGATATGTCTCAGAGGGGAGAGATGCATAGAAATTATGAAGGCTGCTTGACTTGAATGCGTCTTTCAGAGTCACAATTCTGCAGTTCAGCCAGTTC